ACTTTTTGTTGCTTGCCAAATGGGAAGGGACTGGGGGAATGGGTGAAAAAGATGAAGGAATTAAGAAGTACAAATTAGTTGTTAGACTGATGAACCTCAAAGGGAAGTGGGGGAGGGAGGGTGGGAAGAGATAAACCAAAGTACCTTTATGCATATATGCATGACCAATGGACACAAACAATAGTGTGGGGAAGGCAGGAGGGGGTGGGATTGGGGAGGAGGGGTCAATTGTGGGGGAAAGGAGGGGACATCTTAATACATTCAACAATAAAGATAAGTTTAAAACAAAAAAAAGTATTCCATGATAATGAATATCTTTGTGCCTCAATGCCCTTATCTGTACAATGAGAATATTCACACCTATCTCCTGGGATTCTTTTAAGGGTTAAATGAGATGTACTGTAAAGCAATTTTATAGTGACTAGCAAAGAGTAAAGGCTTGATAAATGGCTTCTAGCATATATAATTATCATATAATCATAGAACTAAAATGATCTTCTGGAATTAGTTCATTACTTTTATGCTATTTACCAATAAAGTCAAATGGAGTTAAGTGGGGATGCTACTTTGAGGTTTCTGTATGGGTTTGCATGCTCCCCCTCCCAAAAGTCACATCCACTTGGCATCTCACAATATGAACTTGTTTGAAACTAGGGTCTTTGCAGAAGTAATGAGTTAAGATGAGGTTGTACTAGATTAGTGTTAGCTCTAAATCCAATATGACTGTTTTCCTTATAAGAAGAGGAGGCCATGCCTGGCTGGTGTGGTTCAGTGGATTGAGCACTGTTCCATGGACTGAAAGGTCCCAGTTTGATTTCCGGTCAGAGCACATGCCAGGGTTGCCGGCTTGATCCCCAGTAGAGGGCGTGCAGGAAGCAGCTGATGCATGTTTCTCTCTCACATCAATGTGTCTATCTCTCTCCCTTCCTCTATCTCTAAAAAAATCAATAAAAACATTTTTTTAAAAAAAGAAGCCCTGGCCAGTTTGGCTCAGTGGTTAGAGTGTTGGCCCATGGACCAAAGAGTCACGGGTTTGATTCCAGTCAAGGGCACATACTTTGGTTGCGATTTGGTCCCTGGCCCTTGTCCGGGTAATGTGTGAGGCAACCAATCAATGTGTCTCTCTCACATAGATGCCCCCTCATCTGAAAATAAATAGAAAAATATCCTTGGGTGAGGATTATTAAAAAAAGGAGAAGGAGGAGAAGAGGTCATATAGAGATATCAAAATACAGAAGGAAGAAAGCAGAGATTGGGATGATGCAGCTACAAGCCAAGGAATGCCAAGTATTGCTGGGAAATACCAGAAGCTGAGAGACATTCCAAACCGACCTTGTCAACACTTTGATTTTAGACTTCTAGCCTCCATACTAAGAGGGAATAACATTCCTGTTATTCTAAGCCACCCATTTGTGGTAATTTCTTAGGGCAGCCCTGGGAAACTGATAGAACTCCAGGTATTTTTAATTCCAGTCTAGCTCCCTTTACTCCCAAGTCAGCAATAAACCTAGGAAGTTTACCCGTTTGGAGAAAAATTGATACAATCTATATTATCTTTAGCATTTCCTACTAAATTATTGCCTGACACACAGTAGGCATTTAATGTTTACTGGCAAGTTGACAAAATAACAGATATAAAAATGGTCTGCTATTATACAAATTTAAGATATTATGAACCCACTTTGTACTTCTGTGTATGCCTTTGTACTCTAAATGTATTTAACATTTTATATATTGAAGAATCACAAAACTCAGAACTATCTCTCAGGGCTACAGCCCGAAGGTCTCCTGAGGTTCACAGCCCTGCTCATTATCTACCTCCACGGGTTTTCAATTAAAAGGAAAGTGTTGACCGGCCAGTGTTGCTCAGTGGTTGAGTGTTGACCCATGCACCAAAAGATCACCGGTTCAATTCCCTGTCAGGGCACATGCCCAGGTTGTGGGCCTGATCCCCAGTTGGGAGCATGCAGGAGGCGGCCAATTGATGATCTCTCTCATCAATGTTTCTATCTCTCTCCCTCTCCGTTCCTCTCTTCTAAAATCAATAAAGAAAATAATAAATAAAAGGAAAGTGTTGACTCCAAGAAAGAATGTATCTGTCAAAAATGACTCCTTGTGGGTAACTGAGTCCAAATTCATAATTGAGAGTCCAGCAGCCATTGTTCACAGGGGCCTCTCATGCACACAGCTGCAGACTAAGCTAGACATGCCTTTGCACCTGCATCCCTGCTGTCTGAGCAGCCTTATAAAGGAGTTCCTAAAACAGTATTTCAACCAATGGGCTGAGACCAGCCGTGTCCAATCAGAGATGTGCAGCTCTGTCTTCATTTGTATCTTTACCTGCCAATCAGAGTGGAACAGTGCTATTTAAACCAATCAAACTGTGAAAATTTTTATTCTTCATTTGCATAAAAATGGACCAGTCAGAATTAGGCAGGCACTTTAAGAAAGGCAGCGTCCACTTTGTGTCCCCGCCCCTCCTCCCCACCACCCTGGCTGCTTTTCCCTTAGAGGCTGTATCCCCCCTCCTTTTGCAAACTGTTTGCAAACTGTTTGCCTGAATAAAGTCTCCCACTCCACCCACAACCCTGATTGGGGAATCCTGTTGACACTGGATTGGTGGCAGAGATCTTTTGTAGACAAAAGCAATCTGAATATCCTCAGGATTCTGAATCCTACAAGGCAAAGATGATCTCATTCTTGCTGGGTTTTCCCATGCTCAGGAATGGTGAGGAAGGAGCCTGGGAGTCAAGGGGGTTGCCCATTGCAATAAAGGCAGTAAGCCACGGAGCACTACAGCCTGGGAGTAGAAGGAGGGTGGTAGGTTAACAGCTACCAAGGGAAGGAGGGGGAGGGAGGAGGAGCTGATTCACTAGGACAACCCTTAGAGTGACTCAGAGGCTGCAGAAAATAGCCTGTTCTCCCACATCTACCTCATTGTCAGGCAATGAGGCACTTCCTCATTGCACACCCAAAGGCAGGACGAAAGGGAGGAGGAGGAAAGGGGATTTTTCTAATTCATGGGCCTATTCTAGTACCTGAAACTGTTTGTAACCATTTCAGACACTTTGTTTCAAGTCAAGTCACTATTTACTGAGCACTTACTGTGTACCTGGCCCTTCATCTTGCCTTTCAGATTGTCAGTCTCCTGAACACAGGGAATGATCTTTCTGAAGTTCTCTATTTCCTACTTCATTACCTAAAAAGCACTTGGTCTGCTGTTGAGCACCTTACTACAGAGTTCACCCTCTCAAGCCTACAATCAGTAAGGGGAGGCACGGACCTGTTTTCCCAGCACTAATGTTAATTTTACAGTCATCCAGGCCCAGTCTCTGGATCTGTCCTCCTTGTGAGACCAGCATGAGGTGAGCAGAATATGACACAGGTTTGGAGTCACACATCTTGGTTGGAAGTTCTTTCTTTCCCATTTACTAGTTCTATGACTTTTCTTGATTTCTCTGAATCTCTATCTTCTCATCTGTAAAATGGCACAAAGATGTCTATCTTACAGGTTAGGAAAGATTTGTTATATAGTAATGAAGATTAAATAAGATAGCATTATATGAAAGTACCTGGCAAAGTGATAACATAAAAATGAGTTTACTTCCTTCCAACTTCCCTGTGATTAAACAGACTGACCACATCGCTCCACCAGACTGTAAATTGCAAGAGGGCGGGGCTTCATCTGCCTTGAGGACTATGTCTGCGTAGGTGAGTACTAGGCTCCTAATATTGTCCTGCTTAATAATTAAGATTAGGAATAACATATTAAAATTAGTACATTATTTATGCATTATACTCAATGGTATTATAAGCATCTATTGTACTGTATTTAAAATAATATGGTTGTGCTCTATCCAGTTTGGTTCAGCAGTTAGACTGTTGGCTCACGGACCAGAGTTGCAGGTTGAATTCAGGTCAAGGGCACATACCTAGGTTGGTCAGGGTCCTGCCAACTGATGTGTCTCTCATTGGTCTCTCTTTCTCTCTCTCCCTCCCTCTTTCCCACTCTATCTGAAAATCAATGGGAAAATATCCTCGGGTGAGGATTAAAAAATAAATAAAATAATGTGGTTGTTAATTATTTAACTAGCTGAATTAATCTGTGACCTGGAAAAGGAATCCAGAAACCTTGACCTCAGGTAGGGATGTTTCCTCTCCCCTCTCTGAGCTTTTTGGCCGTGGTAGGGCCTGTTGCCAGTAGCAAGATCTGCATTTCTGTGTTCGTAAGAAGAGAGAGACATTCCTTGCATCCTCTACACGGTCCTTTGTTCCAGCTTCACTGCAAACGCCATTACCCACAGTAAGTATAAGGGGGGTCAAGAGCTCAACCATAGTGTGTAATTACTCACTCGACTTCTACCTGGAAGGCAAGTCGGGCTGGGTTCACGCTCTCCCGGGTACTACCGGTGTCCCCTTGCCAAGGGCTCCAGAGCTAGTATTCCCTCCCAAATGCAATGTGAAAAGAGAAGGGGGCGGGGTTCGGGTTTTTCATCTCTGCGCCCTTGCTCCTAGCACCACACCCACAACCTCGTCCATGAAAGAGAACAGGAAAGACACGTTACCAGGTTTTCAACAACTAATTCTAAAGCAGACACCAAAGCACACTTCAAACGTTAATCAATCAGAACGCCCGCCATCTCTGAGCTTCCAGGACCGGGAGGGTAAAGCACGAAGCACTCGCCGGGTCCTGCCGGGAAACCGCACAGAAGGTGGAAAGTTGCAGAAGCCCGGCCGGGAGAGGCTCGAGCCTACCCCCAAGCTCAGGCCAGAGCCCGGAACGCTTCCTCCCGGAAGTGACGCGACCTCAATCCCAGTTTGGCTCTTCCCAAACAAAAGGGATCTTGGGGCCCAGGGAGGAGCCTCAATGACATTGGAGAAGCCCCGCCTCCAGCGGGCGCGGATTGGTGCCGGCGCTGGAGAGGCGAGGTGGCGATTGGCCCTGATGAATGCCAGTGTCCCCGCCTGGGCTGGGGGGCGGGGCCTCAGAGGGCTGCGGATGGGAGCGGGTGGCGGAGGCGGCGGGAGCGGAGCCCGGAGCGCCAGGGAAAGGTAGGAGCGGCTAGGGCTGGGGCTTGGCGGAGGTTGGGAGGCCGTGTTCCCGAGAGAAAGCAAGGGTAGGACCACCAGGATCCTCCCGCCACCGTCCCAACTGCCACTCGCGCCCATCTCCGGAGGGGGCGGGGCCGTCTCCCCCACCTCCCGGTATTCCCCGAGGAGGCGGCTCCTCATCCTTCGAGGGTCCTCGCAGCTCCTCATTGTCCCGGTCAATCAATCCCAGCTCCGCAGAAGGGGCTCCCCTCCTGACACCCTCATTTAAAGGCCCCCTTCGTCCAGCACCTCAACCTTGGGGGAGGGCACACAGGTCCCCATTCTCAAGGCTGCCGCCCCCACCCTCATTATGTCCCCCCCGGAGGCCAGACATCCATCCCTCCCTACACCTGCCCCCGCTCGCTAATGTGACACCAAAGCTCGTTTCATCTGCAAGGAAAAAAAAAAAAAAATCAGTGTTTTCCAGAAAAGAGGGATGGGGCGAAGCAAAAAGCAAAGACCGGATCTAGCGGCCAGCTCCGTGCTCGAAAGGCCTCCCCCACTTCAGTTCTTCCCATCCCCCATGCTCTGATCCTCTACCTTCCTCCTGAAGCCCCTCGGATCTTCTCTTCTCCTGTGGGGGTCGAGAGCTCATCCGCTGCGGGACTTTTTTAGACTCTGGGGGCAAGAGAAATAGTAACTCCCCACCCCCACACCCCTTTTGTACCTTTCCTCGACTCTGTTCCTTTAGGGAGAATCCAACTCCTAAGGGTTTTTTAGGTTTGAGTTGCAATTCATTTTTGCTTTCCAGCCTATTTCTTCCCTGGAAACTTGGTGGAAAACCATCCTTTATATTTTACAGTGAGGCGGGTGTGTTGGATATCTGCAGAGTTGGCCTTGCGTGGGTAGGAGTACAGTGCATATTGTTGACTGTCAGTGAATAACAGCATGCCTTCCAATGAAGCAGTATTGATGAGTAAATAATGGGCATTAGATTAGGAAAGATTATCTCCCCCTGGGAGACTGCAGTTAACCTTAAAGGTATAGTTCTGTTGAAACAAAAGGCAGGAAGTGTTTGAAGAAAATTCAGGTTCAGTAGTCTAGGTTTATGATTAATCTGGCCTTCGGTTACTCTTATAGCCCCTCTTTTATGGTGGGTTATTCCCGCCAGATGAAACTAATACATAAATGATGTTATTGATTGTTTTTACAAGACCAGTATCATCTATCAAAATTTAGGGGGTGAAAAGTAAGAGCACGTTTTAAATCTCAGAGATAAGGATAAATAAAAACATAGTTAACTCCAGCTATTTTCACACATGTGTGACTACCAAACAGTGTCTATGCTCATAAAGGATTTGTCAAGTTGACCTTTATTTCAGCAGGTGCAAAATATTGATGATTTGGGCCTAATGTGAATGCCATTGAATCCCCAGTAATCATCTGTTGCTAGCACTTCCATATATTAAAAGTTGCCATATTTTTAGCTTGTTTATTTTGCTTTCCATCTATAGTCCATCTTACTACTGTTACCCTTAGCTAAAGCTAACAGCAATGAGATGCAAGGAGTTGGAATCACAGAGGGTGATTAGAGTGGCCATCTTTTACCCTCCAGATTAAACTTTCTAAAAGTAAACGTCCTAAAGGTAATTATTTTTGAATAGTTAGGTTCCAAGTTTTCAAAGCCACTCTCAGTGATTGTTTCCAGATCTCCCATAAAAAAGCACAAAGAAGAAACTGTGTGGAGGGTCTCTTCAGCAAACACAAATGTACTGCTATAGGAGGGTAAGACATGGGCCCCTAGCAACAGCAGCAGAAAAAACTAAAAGCAGAACAGGAAATCCCAAAAAGATAGATCTTATTACATGAGCAGAGAACAGAAAATAAACTAAGGTAAGAGACTCAGGAAACCAAAGTAGTGGTGATTGCCAGGGCCTTAATGAGCAGAGAGGAAAAAGCAAATCATGCAAGACCAGTTTGGTACATGTTTGGGTCTTGGAAATTTTTCCTTTAACTTTTTCAACACTTATTTGGCCATAGTAGATGAAGAAAAGCATTGTATGTAGAAGATTTGTATGTATATGTCTAATCTATCTCATTAAATTACAAATTTTTTGAGAGCAGGTAGTAGTATGTTGGTTGTTCTGTTTTGTTTCTATCTCTCTATCTTTCACAGAGCCTGGTATATAGTTTGACTTAATGAGTGTTTGTTAAACTTAGTGTGAAACTGTCACCTTAGGGTAGTCTAGAGAGGTAATGTACTGATAAGATATGGCCCATCTGGTTCGTATAAACAATCCACTTACTGTCTTGATTTAACTTTATTTTCCCTATCCGATGTCTTATGAAACTTAAGTGACTCTCAAATACTGAATTTCCTATAAGAAAATATCTGTTAGTTAGATATATAATTTTGCTATAATGAAATCTGAACCAGAAATATTAATATAATCAATGCTAGTCCTTTTAGGGTTTGATTTTTCTAAGAATCTGACCTCAAAGGAATGAAGTGAATTCAGGAGAGCACACTAGGAACTGATGGCTGATTTTTATTTAAGAATGGTTTCTGAGCCCAGCGGGTATGGCTCAGTGGTTGAGTGGCAACCCTCGTACCAAGAGGTCACCTGTTCAATTTCTGGTCAGGGCACATGCCCAGGTTGCGGGCCCAATCCCCAGTGGGGGGCATGCAGGATGCCGCCAATTGATGTTCTCTTTCATTGATGTTTCTCTCTCTTTCTAAAAATCAATAAAAAGGAGGAAAAAAAAAGGTTTCTGAGTATTTGGTTTCCGCAAGTTACTGATCTACTTTGGGATTTTTTTAAATGAATTTTTAGTTGATTTTGTACTTCTCTGAACTAGCACTAAATACGTGAACAGGGGCACAAACAGTATTAGGTCCATGAACGGAGTCATCAGAGTGATCACGGTCGGCATAAGGGTTTGTGTCTTGGCAGATTCTGGTTTGCAGAGCTACCCGTGAACTAGCAGAACAGGACTGGAATTCTCGCCTTTTCTGAGTGGAGCAGAACGGTGTTTCTAGGGGTTGCCATTGAAATGGTGGTGGTGGCATGAGATGAGAAGCAGAGACTTCTTTCTAGAGGAAATTGGTCCAGTCTGTTGGTGGTCGACCCTAGCAATGGCTTGTCAGCCTATATCTAAAGGCCTTTTTAAAAAAAATTTCCTGAACGTCTGCTGCCAATAACCAAAAACCAAATCTTCCAAATTTCAGTTCAAAGTATTTCAGTGAGAAAATGACATTTATTGTGAAGCTATGGAGTATGGTAATTTACAGCACAGATTTTTAAGGCAAACCTGGGTTCATATCACAGCTCTGTACCTCTTTCACTGTGTGAGCCAGGGTGACAGCAATTTTCTGTCTTCACCATATCCCAGTTTCCTCAGCTGTGACATAGAAGATATACAGATATAAATATAGATACGATACAGATATTGATCACAAAGCAAGGTACCTAGCATGTAGGAAGCACTCAATAATTGGTAGGTATTATTGCCATTATTGTTAGCATTTTGCATGCATGTTAAAGAATTTAATATTAAATATTATTTTGCTTCTTTAGCATTCTAGCAATGGTGAAGAATTTGTGTCTGATTTTAGTTATTGGTTGGTTTTGTTTAAAATTATTCTATGTATAGTTAAGATTCCTAAGTAGAGAGAAACAAACCTTGTATATATGTCATGATCTCAGACATGTAACGCAAAGATTTTTAGGAGAATATATGTCTATCTTATAGTGTGTTTCATAATTTTGTCGTGCAGATTATCCTCTTGAATTTTTTTGGCCCAGGAAAAAAAAAACAGGCAAGGGATTCAACTATCTGATGTCTTCTCTCTGGATTGTCCTTGTTCCACTCCAACTCTGCTGTCTTAAGTACCTCTATCCTGAGTGACATATAAATGGTTTTGTGAATACTGTGGCACATACCTTCTGTGAGATTTAAGGGCTATTTGATGGTAATTTCGGCTAAAAGTGATTTTGCCTTTTGAAGAAAACTCCCCCACTGTCCCCAAAATAGGGAGCAATCTTTGGAACAACCAAACGTGTGAGAAGAAGCCACAGTGGAGGAGTTAAGAGTGGAGGTGGGGGAGGAAAACAGGACTGCAAGCAGGCACTGATGTAAAGAATGCAGTGGATGGTTCCTCCCTGCCAAGTATTTCCCAAGTGCATTTCAGCACGAAGCCAACGCTTCCAGTCTAAGTGTGTCCTTTGCTGCTGAAGGAATCCTTTCTGGCTCCTGGAACCACAAAGAAAGTAATCCTTAATTATTACTATTGTTACTGAGTTTAAACACTATAATCCTTAATTGTTATGGAGTTCAATAAAAAACCAGAAAGGAAGATAGAGCACAGGATGGAGGGGTTTCCAGACAAAAAAAGACTCCTGACCCTGCACCTGGGCGCATGTGCTGGGATGCTTGGTGGAAAGCTGCTGGGGAAGGCTCGGCCACGTGTGCTCTGGGTCTGCTCTGGGTCTGCTCTCCTTAGACGGTGAGGGCAGGAGGAGGAGGAGAGCGGAAGGGGAAGAAACGAGGATGAATTATTTCAACAAGATATATGAACTATAAGTTATAAAGGAGAGAGGAGAGAATAGCTGACAGGATAAGTTTTAGGAAAAAGAGAAGCACTAAATGGTGTTTTGGTGGGAAGAGGGGCCTTCTATGTAGTAGTCCTTTCTGTTCAGCAGGTCATGGAGAAGTGAGAACAGAACCAATCTGGTTCTTAACTGGTTTGCTGTTTGAAGGCACAAAAATGATCTGGTCTACTTCTGTGCATTAGCTTCTTCCCATTGCTGGCTGTTCTTAAATTGAAGGCATGGAAGTTTTCTGAAAAGGTTCTACCCCTAAAGACTTCCTCCATTTCTAAACCTTTAGGCTTCACCACAAGGGCTTTTTTTTTTTATCCTCACCCAAAGACATTTTTCCCTTTTTTTTTTTGTTTTTTGTTCAGATAGAGTGGGAGGGAGAGAGAGGGAGAGAGAAACATCGACGTGAAAGGGACATAT